TTTAATCAGAAATTTGTTATTCTGCCTTAATAGGCATATAAAAAGAGATTTTTGTGCAAATTTTGTACTAGTACCTTTTTTGTAAATAAGTGTTTTTCTTTAAACAGTGGTTGAGTCTTATTTTGTAATTTTGCGACTATTATTGACTTGCTATTCCTACTATGATTTTGTGTTTGACACAAGAACTTGGATTTGGTAAGGAATAAAATAATCTAACAAAATAATTCATTGACTATATATACTGTGTATACATCTTTTTCAGTTTCCATTATTTTCCGCATTTACAATCCAGAATGGTTAGTTTCCAATATGTAACTTAAAAACATTTACGTTCACACTAGATTTAATAACCCACTGAACCACTGTAAACAGCATTAATGCTTATAGACTTTTGGAAAATTTATTTAGTCTATGGATAACACACGCATATATTCACCTAAAAATCAAAAATCGCGCCCTCGATTTTTGTAAATTTTAAAATAAATTTCATTTCATTGAATCTGTTTAGCACAGATGTAAGTATAAAACCAGATCATATGACAAAGAGGAAGAATAATGAACAAATTGACTAATTCTCTTTTGTTGCTAAGCTAGAAGTTGATAAATGCAGACGGCAACTCAAAAGTCAGGAGACGCACGCTCTTCAGAAGGATTCAGCTTTGGCTACCAGTGACCTCAAAAGCCTCCAATAGTTTACACACTTTTACAGACAAAGTTACGCCAAGGGCACAGCTGAAAATCAATGGACCCCTTCTCTCCTTTCTCTTTTCCCTCTCGCCTCTCTCTCTCTCTCTCTCTCTCTCTCTCTCTCTCTCTTCCTCCTATGTGTATGTATGTGTGTATTTAAATACCTTCTCTCTTTTACTCATATACCCCCAGACCTTTTTATTTAAACTCATACATATGAAAAGAACATTTCAAACATATGAAAAGTGCAATTTCAACACTTGAAATAACAACACTGAATAACAAAGAAACACTTTTTTCAACTAGTAAAGGTTGCGACTGCTGCTTGAATTTTATTTTATATTCGGGACAAAAATATTGGAGACCTGTTTTAAGTCGAAACTGGTGTGCGGATTAGCGTAATTCTGCTGAATCTCAAGCATAAAATATTGTTTTACTACATCCGTATATGGTCAAGTCTGTGTATTAGTAAATATGTTGCTCATTATTGATGAAATTGATAGGGCTTTCTGCAAGCAGGATGACATTACCAGTTGTAGGAACGAAATGACTTTAATATAGAAAAGCATGAAGTGACTGACCATACCCTAGCCTAAACTACCAAAAATCTAATGTGCCACAAATCAGTTGAGGCCCAAGCCGAAAACAGCTAAAACTTCATGACAAAAGGAATCACCCATTCTCTAGTAATAAGAATCAAAAACCAAGTGCAAGAAACCAGGCGAATACAAAAATGGTTGCTATTGCAGGCGAAAGTTACCCGTTGAAAGCACCGCCTTTGAGAAAGGTTTCAATATTCAACTTGAAAACGACAAGCAGCTCGGCACACTCCGTGAGAATTAGAAGAGTCAAGCATCATACAATCGCAGTAGAGTATCAAAAAGATAGCTGAGGATTTCGCCAAGATGACGATATGTAAAATGACTTAATAAAACGAAACAAGCTACTGACAGTCTTAGAAGAAACGAATGCAATCACACCATGGATAAAATCTCTGGTGGCGTCTGCATCTAGCTCATTAATACCACCACAGAAACAGTCAAAGATTCTTTGATAGTAAACGAAGAACTTTTACTTTTTACCACATGGAACATCCATCCTTCTTTAAAAAAAAACCCCAAAAAATCAAGGTCGCGACGTAGAACGATGAATTTATACTTAGAGCCATCATATTTGTAGTAAAATAACTCAACAGATATTTACAGCAATCATCTCTGAATGTTCTTTATGAGCATCAAGCGTGTGGACATGTTGACTCCAATTGTCTCCACTAACACAGAAACTAGAGATTATACCATAATCTTTATTACTTAAGAGTCCTTCAACAAGATCCCAGATCTGTTGGCCTGACGCTAGCCAATGCTAATTACGATCAACGGTCAATGATCACACTGTTACCTATGGTCACCCTCTGTTGATTAGGCAAAAGGGCGGCACCGCTGCAGTATTAACAACAGCAAAAGCAGGGATTCAAATAAATAAACAAATAAATAAAAAGACACCAGTAACAACTACTTACGGGAAATTTACGTGAGGATTTCCAAAATGGAAACTGTTGTTCTTTCATTAGAAAAAACGGAAGGTGACAAGAGCTAGAGTGAAATCGACCAAAGAAGAAAAAATAAGCTTGATAAGTCAGTATTCTTTACAGAAATTCTACTCTTATTTCATATTTTAAAATAAAACATTTTTCCGTTTTTTAAAAATTTGAATATAAAACTATTGATTTTAATTAAGCTTATTAGTTAAAGGTTTTTAAGAAAAAAATCTTTGTAGAATTGACGAGGCAGAATTTTTCCCGTAGTAGGTTGCCATTTCTTTCTGCGGTTGACCAGTTGCCATCCAATGCTATAGAACCCGGTCTGTCCTGCTATTTACTCATAGCTGAGGGGAAGAGAGAAGAAGAGGATTCATACCTTTCCCAAGGATATTAGCACGTAAGTGAATATAATGGATTCGACTGGAATTCGAACACGGCTCTCCGATTCCTCAATCCGAGCCACTATGCATTACTCCACTGTGCCTCCATGTTTAAATAGTTAATATGAAAAGAACGGTATAGAGGGGGCGATTTCTAAAGAAATTAAGCTAGGTAGAACATGATTGTAAGAAAGTGGGGATAAACTGTGATAAATGAAGTTATAAAAGTCCTTGGTAGAGAGTATAAAGTGTCAGCGAATTTCACGAGATGTCAAATTTTGTAGTCATTCGGGGGTTGATAAATCAACACAGTTGCAGGAGCATCCATTTATTGAATGGAAAGAGTTGCTGAATGATTGTCGTTTGTGGAAAACCTTTGGTTAAATTATTATTTAAGAAAGTGAAATGCCTTGTAATATCAAGGAAAATGATCTGCTTGTGGAGTTATTTCAGACAAGCAGATTCAAAATTATCTGTTTTTAAGTTTTCATGTGTTGCTCGGAGCTTTTCACAGGCTATATCAAAAATTAGTGTATTCTTTTCTCAACTGATTATTCAAGTAACCCGCTCGGCTTAATTACATCTCTTCTTAACAACTCATTCACAAACAGAACTGTGATGGATCGTAATTATGTGACAGAGAGAGTTTGGGAAACACACACACACACGCACACACACACACACGTATATTTTTTTTTAGTGAAATTGGAATAGATTTGAATAGTGAAATTAAATCAGAGCATTTTGTGTACTGATGTGGAAATTTGATCTAGAACAGAAGTTGTACCCATTGAATCTGGGCCATCAGGAGACAATGGAAATAGTCGAAATAATTTTCAGCGATTAAAAATTGAAATAGAGCTGAGTAAGCTAGAAGGAAATTTGGAATTCACATGATTTTGGTTGAAGCAGCCAGAACCCAGTGATAATCGCGTGCGAAGTAGTAGGGCCAAGCCTGGTTTATCTATATAAACGCGTAATTATGCTAAAAAACACAGACGGGGGAGCGTTGAGACGGAAGAGAGCAGACGGAAGAGAGAGACAGAAGAGAATTAGCCCGGGCAAGAGTTGGGCTAGAGACAGTGGAGAGTCGAGTTGGAGACACAAGAAGAGAAAGTGACATCAGAGATTGGAACGAAGCGTCCGCTAACATGTACTGTTGATATAAGTACCGCTGCTTCACCTACCACGAATATTACTACTACTGTTACTACTGCTAAGGAGGAACGCCACTATAAACTTTAAGCCGCACACAGAAATCTTATTCCCCCATCGCAAGAGTCGTATATCGTTCTGAGACAATTTAACAACAAGTTAATCATAACACACCCACTCTCTCTCCAGAATCCAGTGTATGCATTTTTACGTCAATTACTTTTCTTTTCTGTAACCCGTTTCTTTTCTATACTATTTTTTCTGCTATATAAAAGACATTAACACTTCAATCATTGAATAGTTGTTTGTCCGGCTTTCTGCAGATATTATTTTTTTTATTTTTTTTGCTGCATTGTAAATTTCTCAGCGCAGACTTTCCAGCCGTGTCTACATCTTCAGTCGACCGTGAATGGATGAACATCACTTCTGCTTTCTGGATCAAACCAAACACTACGTGGTCAGGAAACAGGATTAAACCAGTGGACCAGTCGAATAATCTACGGATGCTCAGGGGACCTACGGCCACTCCCATAAGTTCGGTTAGGACCGAGTAGACACCTCAACCCAGAGAGTAAGACGTCGGAGGTTGAAGTGCTGGGGAGAAAGTATTAGACTGCTGCCTGTGATCAGAATAGACCTGTGGGAATTACCACGGACGTCTGAAAGAGGAGAGAAGGTTGTATTTGTTTTGTCCAGTCGGGACCGAGTAAGACCAGAAAGGACTCTAGTTTTCGGACTATATTGGTCTAAAAGGGACATAAGAAGGAAAAGACAAGGAAGCAAAAGAAGGAGGAAAAAGAAACAAAACACGGAGCGGTGGACCTCAGGTAAGTCACATTTTGGTTTCCTTTTTTTCGCTCATTGCACTTAGATCTGCCAGTAATACTGTTGATCTCGTTTTGACTTTGTCGACTTTGTACGCAGTTGAAGCGCCACCACCGTGTTAAGTATTTTTCCTTTCGTTCTGTCATCGGCTTCTCTTCTCGTAGGAAATTCGTAGTTGACAAGACGCTAGGATGAGCGTAGCAGGATCAGACGCCACAGATGACCTTGGGGACGTGGGAGTCCTCGAAATATCGATGGGTTTCAGGAGGCTGATAGGTAGCATGACGCTACCTACCCTGTGGACCTGCACGAATGGATTCTGTCCATTCAGAAGAAGCAGGTGATCTATGGCCTCTCGGACCAAGAAATGGTACTCCTAGTTTACCACGCCGCAGCGGGGCAGGTGTCGAAGTTCATAAGAGGCGGTGTACAAAGAAAACCCGGCCCTGACGTGGACAGCAATATGCAAGTGAGCGTATGGCCATTGAGACAGTCAGGAAATTATTCCGGCTGCAGCAACAAGAAGGAGAGACTAATGAGAAATTGGGGGAAAGAATCGCGGGGCTAGCGGCGTTAGGTAGGAATGATGAGAAAGAAGGACTGGGAGTGGATCCAGATACGGGACCCGAAAGAAGAGGTGGAAGAGGACTGGAAGGCTGAAGCAGTTCCCGATAGGACAGCCTGGGATCTGCGTTATGGGTTTCACAAGCCCACACCGGGCCGATATGGGCTGGTGTGTTGGACTTGCAAGTATGGTGGGCATCGGGCCCGCTACTGTCCGACAAACTATGGAGGCGACCCAAGGTCTTTGGGGCCAGACTGCACGACTTGTGGCGAGTTCGGGCACAAGCCTCGGTGGTATACAGCAGAAGGAGACCGTAAACTGAGGATAAAGCAAGTTAATACGCTGGTACCTCCTACCGAGAAGGAAAAGGGTCCGGGAAACGCCGTTGGGTCACCCATGAAAAAGTACGAGGCAGGGTGGCCCCAGTGCAAGTAAGACCTCTGAGATGCTGGACATGTGGTGTGCTCGGGCACTTTTCGGCAAGTTGTAAGGAGCGAAGTTGTTGGCGCTGTGGAGGAGCGGGTCACCTTAGACGAACGTCCATCTTACTCCCTCGCAGGAGTAAGATGGACCACACCGAACGGAACAACCCTAACTCGAATAGAGGGGAGAAATGGGTTGCTAGTCCGAGAAAAGAGAGTCAACCGAGCTCTACCCCACCCAGAAAGGCCCCTAGACAGAAATAGGAGCCCCTAGAAAAAAATGAACTCCTGTCACCGACTCTCATGTCTCGGTTGTCGAGAAAGCGAGAGGAAGGGAGGGAACATACGGGAAGGAGAAAGGCACAGATATACCGTTTGCTGAAGGAAGGTCCAGACTTTACCTGTAAAGTGTTGCTGGGAGACAAGAAGTTGAAGGCCCTTGTCGATACTGGAGCTTCAGTGTCACTGGTTAGCTCCAAGGATTTTAGACAGTTGGGACTGAAAACAAAGCTTAGTACCGTCGATCTACTAATAAGTCAGGCTGATAGTAGCAGGATGAGGATAGAGGGTATGACGTGGCTACCTTTCCAGTTGGCAAGAACCAGAGGTGAACTTAAGGTTTATGTGGCACCTGACTTGTGTGGTGAGCTAATTTTGGGGAGTGACAGAATAAGGCACAGATCTGTTTCGACCCCACCACCCTAACATTGGACGGGGTAGGGATACTGTTGGGAGAGGATAATTATGAACAATTGCCAGTGGTGGCCCAGACAGATATAAAGCTTCCCCCTAGGACTACTGCATCTGGGAAGGGCAAGATTATAACAGAGGGAGTGCTGAACAGTGCCCTGTACCAAATGATCTCTACTAATAGGTATGATAATAGTGAAGGGGAAATAACCGTGTGTGATTCGTTATTGAAGAGGTCGGGGACCGTTCCCTTACTGTTAACCAATACTACCAACAAAACTATTAAAATAAAGCAGGGAGAGGACCTGGCACAGGTGTGCCCAGTGAGAGAAGTCAAACAGGTGAGTGTATGGAATGAGAATAGGCCTGGGAATAAGACTAGCAAGGAAATAAGGGATGAAAATATAACAGCTCCTGAGCATTATATGAGGAAATTGAGGGGGTTGCTGAACGGTAATCGGGAGGTAATAGCCATTATGGATAAGGAACTGGGACAGATAGAGACATTTGAAATGAAGATAGACATGAGTAATCACCCACGTATTAAATTAAGACCGTTTAGGACCCCAATCCACAAAAGAAAATTAGTAGAGAACGCAGTGAATGAAATGATGGAATCAGGGATAATCGAAAGATCCAAATCTCCCTGAAGTTTTCCAATAGTGATTGTTGAAAAGAAGGGTAGGTTTTGTGTGGATTTTCGTCAATTAACTGCCATTACGAAACCGCTGGCAGTGACCCTCCCCTTGATTGATGATATTCTAGCACTTTTAGGAAAGTCTAAATGTTTTTCTACCTTGGATTTGAGGTCGGGATATTGGCGGGTAGCACTTAGCAAAAAGGATCAGGAAAAGACCGCTTTTACCTACCACATGGGTCTCTTCAATTTTAGAGTTATGCCGTTTGGGTTAGCAACCACCCCGGGTGTATTAAGTCAGTTGATGTCCATCATATTGAATGGCACTGAGGCCTTTGCCATGGCTATCTAGATGACATCATGGTGTTTGAAAACACCATGATGTCATCTAGATAAGTCATGAAATTTTGAAAAATCACCGGAGGAGCATTTTGAACATCTGCCGAAAGTGTTCGATAGGTTAAGAGAACATGGATTAAAGTTAAAATTATCGAAGTGTCAGTTTATGAAAGAAGAGACAAAGTACTTAGGGTTTATCATAAACAAAGAAGGAATAAAAACGGATTTAGACAAAGTAGAGGTTATAAGAGCCATGCCTGCGCCGAAGACCATGAGAGAGATTAGGGGATTTATTGGAGCTATCGGATATTACTGGAAGTTCATACCTGCATTTAGTCAGCTAGCAGGCCCTCTAATAGCTCTAAGAAACATGCTAGGTTTAAGTGAATCGAGGATTGTACCCCTGTTGGCCTACCCAGACCTGAGAAAGCCCATGGTGCTGTACACCAATGCTAGCGATAAGTGTATCGGGGTAGTTCTTACACAACCGTGTCCCGATAAGGATGGATCAGTACTGGGTGTGCCTGAGGAAGTGCCGATCTATTTTCTGTCTCATCAGCTCTCCGAGACTCAGCAAAGGTGGCCACTAATAGAAAAAGAGGCGGTCATCATTCTCTATGCTGTGCAGAAAATAGATTATTATTTGAGTGGGGCTGTGTTTATCTTTAAAACAGACCACCAACCCCTCAAATATCTGTTAGAGGCAGAGTGGACAAATAGGAAAATACAACAGTGGGCATTGAAGTTAAGTGGGTATAACTGCAGAATAGAATATTTGGCAGGGAAGGATAATACCTGTGCTGACCTGTTATCGGGGATTCCGAGGCAATTAGAGACCGAATCTGTCAGGTTGGAGCCAGGTGTGGAGGATAAAGCATTCCAAATGAATGTGACCAATTCACAGGCGTTGAAAGAGTTGGGAAGATCAGGAAACAAGTGAAACGGAGATTATTTCCGACCCCCACTGGAGGGATTTTATTAGGCAAAACCAAGAGGATAGCGAGATAGCAACTATCAGGTCCAGGGTAGAGGCAGGGCGTACCTCCAAATATATGGTGCATGATGGAGTGTTGTTTTACCTTTCAGGAAGAGATGAGGAAGTAAGTTTAAAAATGGTGATACCTGAGAAGTTGAGAGCTGAAATTCTAGACCAATGCCATAGGAAGTTAGGACACCTGGGAATTGATAAGACGTATGGATTAATAATGAGAAAGTACTACTGGCCTAAGTTGTTTAATGATGTTTTGAACCATGTAAAAAATATAAAAAATTTTACACAGGTGAGGAGGAGGATTCAAAGAGCCCAGAAAAGGCGAAACGATAGGGTAAATAAAAATAGAGAAGTTTCCTTCCAGATAGGTGATCCAGTGTATTATAAAATACACATGAGAGAAGGTAAATTGGACCAGAGATGGAGTTCATACTATAGGATCGTGGAGCAGACGTGTCCGGTTTCCTTTGTGATCTGGGACCAATTGACCGGACAGGTAAAGAGCGTGTGCATGCGAATGATATAAATCTAGCTGAAATAGGAGAATGGAAAGGAGCCAAAACAAAAACTCAACAGAAAAGGCTGAGGAAAACTATGTTGGTAGAACCTGAAGGGTTAGAAACTGAGAGTGAAAGTGAAGGGAGTGAGGAGATTGAAATTAGACCAACTACCCTTCGAAGGCTGAGGGAGGTAAGTTGGACCCCAGCGAGGCATTCTGAGGAAGCAGGGATTGAGCCTAACCTTAAGGAAGAAGAACTGAGTGAATGGTAAGAAAAGGATGAAATCCCATTAGCTCAATTGCAGAGTAAATTGCAGGCTGAAAATGAACCTAGTGTTAATGAGGAATTACCACTAAAACGGAGATTGAGGAGAGCGGTGCAACCCGAGCCCAAGGATTAAGTGAAACCAGTACAGTGGCTGTGGTCAATGAGTGACGGTCTGGGACTAACTGTGCATTTATCATCAGTGCTGGTGAACTGTGTGGACGGCCCCCATGCATGCACGGTGCTGGTGGTGGTGTGGGTCGGTGCTTGAGGTATCACTCTAAGATGTAACCACCCGATAAAAACAATAAGTGAATGATTGAGTAAGACGAATTATTCTCTCCATCTCTTTGCAGACATGGACGAGAGGAGGTTCGTGGTACTGACGATGCTAGTTGTGGTAGCTAATACCTGGGAACACAGTGAGAATACTGTATTTAAGAAGGCTAGCGAAGTGATTATAACTAGATCAAAGTGGTTGATAACTTCGGTGATGGACCTGCAGCCGTATGGGAAGTTACTGGGTCAGTTGAAGACCGAAGTGGACAAACTAGATACAGCCAGGACCCAAGTCGCCGGAGACTATTTACATACTCCGGAATACCACCATATATTATACTCCTTAGCTCAAGAATCCCTAATACTTGAGAGACAATGGAAGGATATGAGTTACTATTTGAAGGGAATAAAATTGTTACGAACCAGGCAAAAGTGGGCAGTATTACCTATAATGGGAAAGGCATAAAGCGTGTTGTTTGGTACAGTCTCCGAAGACGAAGTGAGAGTAATTAAGAGGAAATTAAAAGTGGTAGAACAGAGACAACAAGCAATGGCTCAGTCGGTTAAAAAGAGCCTATCTATACTCAATGTTACTAGGCTGGAATTGGCTAAGAATAGAGGGAGTATCAATTGGTTGATTTCTCACCTACAGGTTTTTAGAAATGAAGTGATAAATGTAACCATGTCTGTAACAACCGAATTACAGAAATTAGAGGGGTTTTTGCAAAGGTATTTTCAATTATTAGCTGTAATGAGTAAGGTACGTCAAACAAGTCGCTCTTTAACGATGTTGTTAGAGCATGTGAGAGCACAATTAGGCATTCTGTCACTGGGACACCTGACTCCGAGTATGATAACTCCTGAACGATTAAGGGAAGTACTACTGGAGATACAAGCCAAACTACCCCATCACCTTAGATTACCTGTAGACCCCACCCAGCAGTTATGGAGGTATTATAGCACCTTGGGATGTTCTACCTTGTTGGAAGATGACAAATTGATAGTGCTAGTGTTGGTTTCATTACTGGACAGAGATAGTACCTTTGAAATTTATCAGGTGATGAATTTTCCCCTACCCTATCCAAAACTAAGGCCGAAGATAGGAGCGATGGCTAGGTACAAGGTAGAGATGGAATTTGTTGCCCTAAACCTAGTCAGGACAGAGTTTATGCTATTAACAAAGGGAGAAGCAGAAAAATACAAGAATGATGCCTTAGGTACCAGTGGGTCTGTAAGTCCAATTTACGTGAGAGGTAGTCACAATCTGTGTGTACTA